CCTCATCTCCACTTGTAACAATCATGTCTAAAATCTAAATGGATGATGGGCCTTTAGATATCCCATACTTAATAATTTAGGTAATGACTATTTGGTTGAACGTTCATGTACCCGGCAGAGAGACTTAAAAGGCCAACCTATCTCAAGTGCAGCAGTAAGGTGGTCGCCACAAAAGGATTTGTAGTTTTTATGCTTGCCAAATGTCCCTTTCCTCATGTATCAAGTTTCACTTAGACAACTCTTGCCATGTAGCAACTCTACTGAACAATGTTTTGGTCATGATCAGCTTAGTTCGATTATTGTAAAATAAAAAAAATATTTTAATTTCGAACTTTCGAGTCAAATTCAAATTCATCAAATATTTAATTGAATTGAATTTGAGGCAGAAAATAGAGTTCAAATCATATTCACACATAATAGTATTTTAATCGAACCGAGAAAATTAAGACATGCCAAATTTAACTCATCTCATCTCATGAGCTCAATTGCACTCCCTAATAGGAGGTGTAGACGTGGTTAATTCAGAGAATTAATGTGGCCTCCTCCTATATCAGCAGAGAATGAGAGATGACTCATCCGGGAAAGGCTTCTGATTTCCTGGTTAGGTATGTCTAAAACTGAAACTCCTATTGAGGAAACATGTCTGGTACTCCCTGGGAACACAGAAAGGAAGTGGACCCACCATTAATTAAACGTCATCCCCGTAGCTTTTAGAATCAATGGCGTTGGTCTTGCCGCATTCCATTGTGATTCAACCAGCAGTGGATTCCTTGTTGGATTTTTGATGGAACAAAAGGTCCCCCGACGTGAGATCATCTGTCTGACCAGTTGAAACTTTATACCTAATCACAGAGATCCATCCAATTATGAACATGAAATCAAGAGAGTTGTTTCATCAGTGGGTCCCACTTCATCCATGTGCACCACGTGGCAAGTACCCTTTTGGCTTTTGCTGGGCTCTGCCTCTGCCCTCCCTCTCCTTCCCTCAACGATGAAAGATGCTTAGCTTAACCGTTGAAAAAATTGAGGGCAGTGGCCAGCAGTGGGGTTCACACTTTCACAGCCTTGCGTTGGATCAAAGGTTTTGGGCCGGTCCTCCAATTCAATAACCGAGTCCATAAACCTTCACGCGCCCTGTCGACTTTGAAAAGAAATATTTGATTTCGACGTGCTGTGCTTACGTATTAAAGATTTCTTCTGCCTGGTTTTTAGTTTTCGCTTTGCACCGGCAAATCTCGACTGAGTCGGGATTCCATTTGGTGCCGAGTCCAGCCCACAGCACTTGACCTGGTCGTTTCTTCCTTCCCGGGCCCCCACCCCCCAGTTGCCACCCATGATACCCAAACCCTCTTGGCTGGCCCATGGGCCCCCACCACTTACTCACTTGATTATTAATTATTCTTATTATTATTTATAGGGTAAATTGTTGAAACCTACACTGAAGTTTTTCTTTGATAATTGTAATAATTTCTTCTGAACTTTTTAACATTGTTGCAAGTAGATCCCTTTTATTAGAATCCTCTAAAAAGAAATATAAAAATATCCAAAATACTTGTACAGTTACCTTTGATCAAAATGTCATATTTTTCAAAATTCTCTTCATATAAATTGTTAGCCTAACCTCTTCTAATCTTTTTTTTAATTGATTTATTTTATATATATTACTCAAAGGTAAAGCCGCAACTTTAAATTCTTTTTTTATTTTTTATTATTATATAAAATTTGTATTACTTCTATAGAAATCAGTTTCAACTTTCAATAATAACTGTATAAATATTTTGGACATTTTTGTACTTCTTATTAGATGACTCTAATAGAGAAGATCTACTTGTAACTGTGTATAAAAGTTCAAGGGAAATTTCAGCAATTTACACCTATTATCATTATTAGCTTTTAAGGAGGCTTAAAAGGACTCTATACATCTGGAGCAGGAAGGAAGGATAATAAGACATAAAGCAGTAGGGGAGCTTCTTCTAAAGCCATCTACAGATTTTTCAAACCACTTCTTGATCTAGCATACGTCAAAGAGAATAAGTCCACAAATCCAAAGGCTATGATAGTGACCTATTGGAGCGAGCCTTACATTTCAACCATGTGAACAATGGTGGTCCAACAATCTACCTACACAAATTTAACCTAATTAATAGCTAATAATTTAGTGTACAGTAAATATACAGTACCGGCATAACTCAATTTGGCCGACATAAATTTGGCAATAATTTTGGGAAGGGTCACAATAATGTTTTTTTTTTCTTTTTTTTTAAAAAAAAATAAAACATCTCTTGAGGGTATTTTTGTATTAGTACAATTGTATTTTTCACACATTAAAATACATAGAAATATGTAATATACGTATTAATGTAATCTTACAAATTTCTATAATGTTTTCAAAATTTTTTGGATTCCCTATTCAATAATAATTAAATAGTTCATAAGCTTCATATAAATATTTTCCAACATTTTCAAATTTTCAGCATCTCAAAATATTTTATAAGCCAGGAATTTTCTAGCTAGAGCTAATGAGCTATAACTCCCAACCAAATGACACCCACCATCCAACCAAATAGACATTGGGGGGGGGGGGAGGAGAGAGAGAGAACCAGAGAAGAGCAATGCCCTGTAGGAGTTGTCTACCACTCATGCCTCTATGACCTGTTAGAATTATTTTTCATGGCTGTTGTTATTAGTACAAAATAAATAAGTAAATAATTAAATAGTTAATTAATTAATTAAAGGAGAGAGAAGGGTATCCCATGTTTGAGTTATACTCCTTCACCTTTGCTTGGTGTGTGTCCAGTCTTTCTCTCTCCTTTTAGTTTCTTAGCTTCTTCGTTTCCTTGTATTTTTAATAGAGAGACCTGCATGCCCTCCACGGGCTTCAGTACGAGAATGAGTTGTGATGTTTAATTCGAAAATTTCCTTCAAAATTCGGGGCAATAATTGCGGTTTATCATCCTAAACCACCAACTCAAGGTCAAATTTTGACTTGCCATTTCTCCAATTTTTTTCCTTTTTGCATCTCCTCTTGCCATGTTGTTAAGTAACATCTCACTTGCTTTCTCTCAGAAAAAGTCAGATGGGTATTCTTGTAATTTCTCACAAAAGAATAGCCCTCTTTTTTCTTCCTCAAAGTTTTTATTTCAAAAGTCAAAGTGGTTTAATGAAATTTATTTATTTTTTCCAGATATGAATGATGGGAATGGGAACATTAGATGGGCCAGATAGACCTCCATTTTACATTATAATCCGGGCTTTTCATGGTTGTTGTACACGATACTAACCAGTCTTTCTACAGGCTCAGGCCCAGAAAAACATTTGGATTTTGGACCGTTTGTTTGTTTGTTTCTTTGTATTTTGCCATCTCTTGTTTGTCATTGCTCTTGCTAATCCTTCACTCTCATACTTGTCTTGATTCAATTTCTTTTCCTTTCATTTTATTTATAAAAGTGTTTTTTTTTTCTTTATTTTGCAGCTTAGGAGGGGTGTTTTATAATGTGAATTGTTTTTTTTTTCCGGTTCGAAAAAGCAAATCAAAACCATCTGTAACTGAAACCAAAAAATGTTCTTGAATTTTTAATTCAAAAACATATTTTAATCTTGGAAGGGGGGGGGGGGGGTTGGCACATTAGCATTGCGTTGCAGTTGTGATTTGAGTTGATCACTACAAATTTATGAGGATTATGTCATGTGTTGTCGCATAACGTTTTCAAAAATGTGTTAGGTAGAAAAATCTTTCACACAGAAATTTGTATTGATCAACCCAAAGCACTATGGCAATATCAATGCACCAAACACCCCCTGCTTATTTAATATCATGTTCTATAGAACCTATCATTTTTATACTATAAAATTTGTTTTTATTTTAAAAACCATTATTTTCATAGTCTAAAAACATGTATTGTTTTATGAAACAAAATCAACTTGTTTTTTTTTTCTTTGAAAACTAAAATAGAGTTCAACAACATGTTTTGTTTTTCTTTTTTTTTGCTGATGTGCTAATTTTGAAAACAAAAAAACACCCCCTTAATTAATGCAAATATACGTAGTTATTTTTATAAAAATAGATATTTTTCTTTGATTATTTTGCAAATATCAGAGGATGGTAGTTGATAAATACAAAGATGGACAACGGAATAATGGCGAACAATATTAATAGGATAGTCGGAAGCAGTTGGAAGTTGGAACCGAGAGATGGGGGCGTCGTCAGTTCACCCCCAGTTCAATTGAAATCATGGGCTCGATATAACGGTGAAAGTGGGTGGGTATATTCCACCACGGGCTCCCAAACTTTTTAAATAGCATAGGCCCAACCCAAACCCATTTACTGCAACAATTTTACTGTTAATACGCGGAGAAGAGAGTAAAAGCCCAATTTATTTCACTGTCCAAAGAAAGGAGCCAAGGGGAAAGATGGGGTCAGTACTCTACTCACTACTCAGTCCTCACTCAATAGAGAGAGAGAGCACTCAATTTTTGTTGTTCCATCGAGCGATCCTGTCCGTCCAAAAGAAATCTCCGTGTTTTCTTTCCAAAAATAATATAAAATTTACCTTCTCCTTGGGAGTGGGGCCCATCTAATCTAATCTAACAGTGAGAGTGAGGAGGACGGCAGACGGACGGCTCCTTTCCGTCCTGCCCCCTGGACCTGTGCCCGGGCTGACGTGAGTGTTTTATTTGGGTATCTGAATCTGAATGGATCATCTCTTCTCTTCTCCCAATTCTTACCAGCAAAATTAACATTATTACCATTTAATATCAATAGCGACGTCTCTTTGGCCTTTCTCTTTTTCTCCCTTAATTTAATTCTCAGTTATTACCAGCTTTAACTCTTATTAATCAGAAAAAAAAAATAGTAACAGAGTAAACAGTGGATAAAATACGCAGAGCCGTAGATGAACAAGAAGAAGAGACGAAGACGAAATGATTTCATTTCCCTCTTTTTAAATTGAATTATTAAATTATTATTTTTTTCACTGGAAAGATAGAGAGAATTAGAGATGAGTGAGAGAGAGAGAGATCTACCATTACCAACATCGAATCAAACATCAAACAGCATCAACTTCTACAAGCACACACATACACACGAACGAAGGTACCTCCTGCTGCATAGGGCTTCGTTCCTCTTCCTGTGACCTCTCTCCCTCCTTCCCTCTCTCTTTCTCTCTTTCTGGACTGGAGAGTGGAGACGACTCTCTTTCTCTTTCTCTTTCTCTTTCTCTTTATCTCTCCCCCCGCTCGATCTCTCTTTTGAAGCCTAACATCATCGGATCTGAGAGATCATTGGGTTCGAAACTTTTTTTCTGGTTCAGCTTGTCGGATCTCTCCGAATTTCGATTAGATTTCCATTTCTCTTTTGTCTTCTCTCTCTCGAGAACGAGGAAAAAAAAAGCGGAGAAAGGCAAGCACTGTGCGTAGTGGCGCTGTCTTCCAGAGTGAGCGGGTGCGAGGTCATAGACCTCAAATCTACCAACTTCAAGAACTTGAACCGTTGTTTTATTATACGAGGGAGAAGGCGAGTTGAAGCGATTGTTGAGTGTGTGGGGGAGCGGGGAGAGCATTCGCATTCGTATGGGAATGCGAATGCCCGAACGATGAGCTACGCTGGAGACGAGGAAGAAGAGGAGGAGTGCTTCTACGAGTCGCTTGATCGGATACTCTCTTCCTCCCACTCTTCCTCTTCGTCTTCCGCCGCCGTCTCCGACGACGACGACCCTTCCAATTCCCCCAATTATGCCTCCGACCATCCCCCCGTTCTCAAATTCCCCATGGCCCTCACCAAGTACGACGTTTGGATTGCCGAACCTTCCTCCATCGAAGAACGCCGCAAGCGTCTCCTCCGTGAGATGGGCCTTAGCGGCGACCGGTTGCTCTCCCGCTTAAAATCCTCCAACGAGTCCAATAATTCCAGCGGCCGTACCAGGGAACCGGAGTTGTTCGGGAGATCCGTCTCCGCCGATCCTTTACGAACTCAACATCAGCCAGGCTCCTCCTCTCTCGACAATTCCAATTCGAGCATTGTTCGATCCAAGTCTGACGGTGCCGTCGATTGTACCTCCTCTTGCCGTCCACCTGACGATCACCGTAACTCCTCCACTTCTTATTCTACTACAATTCATTCAATTCATTCGATTCAGTGGGTCGGGGACTCCGCTCCCCTTGTACATAATCACCTTCTTTCTAAATCCCGGAGCAACGGAAGTAATGGATCCCCGACTGCCAATGTTGCCCCTCTCAATAAGCCTCCCACTGGGAAACTGTCTCGGAGGGGGGAAGACGTTAGAAATGATCCAACGAATGTCAACCCTAGCCCTAACTCCTATCCCTCGACTCCTGTGCTGGTGAATGCCGGCAACAGTGGTGGAGAATTTGACGATGATTCGGATTGTAACGGAATCGTTAGGGCCACTGACCAGCTCTGTACAATTAAGAATCTGGACAACGGAAAGGAATTTATAGTGAATGAATTCAGTGAGGATGGCATGTGGAACAAGCTTAGGGAAGTCGGGACTGGCAGGCAACTAACTAAGGAGGAATTTGATATGTATGTTGGGCATTCTCCTATTGTTCAGGAACTGATGCGGAGGCAGAATGTAGAAGAATTGAGTGCTAAGAATGATAATCTGGACGTGAATGGGATTAGCAATGTTGGCAGTGGATCAAAGTCAAAGAAGAAAGGAAGCTGGTTCAAGAGCATAAGGAATGTTGCCAGTACTGTGACTGGTCAAAGGGAGAGGCGAAGCAGTGATGAGAGGGATACCTCGTCGGAGAAGGGTGGGAGGAGGTCAAGCTCTGCCACAGATGACAGCCAGGATGTTACATTTCATGGCCCCGAGAGGGTTAGGGTTAGGCAGTATGGAAAGTCTTGCAAGGAGCTCACGGCACTCTACAAGAGTCAAGAAATACAAGCCCATAGTGGATCTATCTGGAGCATCAAATTCAGCTTGGATGGACGATATCTTGCAAGTGCTGGCGAGGATTGTGTCGTTCATGTCTGGCAGGTTATGGAATCAGAACGAAAGGGTGATTTATTGCTGGAGAAACCTGAAGACGGGATTTTAAATCCATTTATATTGGTCAATGGGTCACCTGAACCGGCAATGGTATCGCCCAGCATGGATAACCATTTGGAGAAGAAAAGAAGGGGAAGAACATCCATTAGCCGGAAATCCATAAGCTTGGACCATGTTGTGGTTCCAGAGACTGTGTTTGCACTTTCAGAAAGGCCCATTTGCTCCTTCAGAGGACATCTTGATGATGTGCTTGACCTCTCATGGTCCAAATCACAGGTTAGTGAACATTCAGCCATGCTGAAATATTCCTTTGATTCATCTTTGTATGATTATTTGGGCACTGGTGGCCTACCCCTTCATGTACCCATTTATATAGAAATATTTAAATTGTATCAATTCTTCATCCATCTTCCTGTGGTTGGTTCTTTAAACAGAATTAGATTTCTATGTGTAAATGTCTGACCTTATAAATTTTCATTCCCTCTTTTACCCACATTACAGATTTTTGGTATAAAATAACCTGTCTACTTTTTAAGGTTGTGCCAAATACTTGTCAGAACAACCTGATTGAGGTATTGGCTATGTAGTTTCTCCAAGAGGAGAAATCTTGTGCTGTTGTGCCAGGGTATTGTGTAGGTTGTTCATATCTGGAACCATGAACTTGATATAACAGAAGTTTCCCTTTGTTCATATCCTAAACCATGACCTTGGGAATGAAGCTTCTCTATGTATGTGGTGAATAAAAGCTTTATTTGATATGGAGGGAGGTTTCTTCTAGGAATGTCTCTAGGGAATCCTTTTTCCTTGGTAATTTCTGGTCATTTGACAAGACCTGAAGTAGAAGACATCAGATAACCCTGATGCAAAAACTCCAAAACCATTTTTATTTAGGCTTGGCAGAATGGTATTAGTTTTAGAATTACTTCACTGTGGTAAACTATATGTGGCACTGTTTTCTTTTTGAGAGTAGGTAGCCTATCTAGCTACAAAACAAACCTATCCACAACCCTTTATATCTTTCAGTGAATTTTCATGCTAGGAAAATATTTGTATAAAAACAAAGTTGTTGCTTTGTCTTGAATGCAGTGTCTTAAAAGTGAGAAGTGCAATTAAAGTGGAAGGGGTTCATAGAGCTTGTGGCACAACACACAAAGCATGAGATAAGGCATGGTGTGTGTGTCTAAATGAAATGAGGTGCCACCTTTGAAAAAATTAAAAAAAATTTCCACCAAAAAATTAATGTATAAATATAATAATATATGCAAATCTAACTTCTAAAAGAATAGAACATTTCAGAAGGTCTATAGCTCAATTGGTTTGAGGATCATGTTATTAACATAAAAGGTGTAGCCTTGTTGGTTGAAGTGTTTTTTTTTTTGATCGATACCTCATTGATTCAAGTTCTACATACACTAAACTATTTAGGTTATAAACATTATGGGTACAACCTACATGCAGAAAATTACCTTTTTTAGAAAATTACCTATTCAAACATCAAATTCAAGTATAACTCATCAAAACATAATGGCAAATCAGGTGAACTGCACCCCAAGAGAAGAGCCTGACCTGTAAGCTTAGGCACATTTCTGGCATGCCTTTAGAAGCACTTCTTAAAAGAAGGTGAGCATTGGAATGACATCATTGCAAGACTTATAGTTTGCATTGATAACAAGATAATAGGACATTGGTCCTGCACTTCAGGCTTAACAGTTATAACATATTATGGAGGAATATTCTGCAATTGAGATTAGAATCATTAATGGTAGTAGGACTAAAAGTTCTTTTAAAAGTTGGGAAGTAATAAGTTGGGGATTAGAGTTGTTATCTTTTATTGTATGATGTTGCTCATCTGATACAGCCCCTGGGCTAAGGGTATGAGGAAGGATTTTCCTCGTTGGTAAATAAGTCCATGGACAGAAATTCTAAGCAAGGATTTTTGCTCTTGACTTGTCCAAATATAATTACAATGGCAGTTGCTAAATATAATTATTAAATATTAAGGAAAAAAATATGAATAAGTTTTAGTCCTGAAACACATCTCACATTTTGTATGTTCCCATTCAAGATAAATTATATAATAAAATTTTAAACAAAAAGAACTGGCCTCTTTGTAGATGAATAACCTAATAAAAGAGAAAAAAGGAAAAGAAATTTATAGCGAAAAGGAATAGTTTGTTATTTTTCTGCTAGCATCTATGTGATGTTAGTGGACTAAGCCAGATGATGGGGTGATTTGCAAGAGTAACTTACAGAAATAATTATAGAGAAGAAATTGACTCAAGTGTGCACGATAAAGATAGCCTTGACTTTTAATTGGTGATCTTGTTACTGACTGCTCCTTTAGCTGTGTAGTCCAGCAAACTACCGCATTAATTATATGTATTCTGTGCATTTGACTTAGGATGAATCTCATCACTTTCAGATTGAGGAAGAGTTTGCTGATTGACAAGTCTTGCAGTAAATTGAACTGTAATAAGTATTGTGTTTGCACAGAAACTGGAATTCTAATCTAACTGCATGTTCTTATGAAAAAGAGTCCCTACTTGTTTAGGTATTGTGTAAAAGCATTTGAAGTTAATTTTTATAATGTTTTCAAGCGTTTCTTCTTTAAGGGATTTAGAGCCTTCTTAATAAGTATCATGTGGGGCATCATGGAGTTAATGGAGAAATTTGTTGGAAGGAGATTTTGGGTGGCAGGTAGGTGGACAGTTATGAAAGATAAATTTCTTAGCAGTCAATCTGCAATTGACAAGATAAACCTCTTGTCACTCATATAAAAACATCTTGTCGGTCTTTAATTGACAAGATATTGTTATCATTTACAAGGAGTTTTTTTAAAATGTTTTTAAAATTGGAAGCTAACCATACAAAATACTGTTTCATGGAGTTCCTTTGCAATCTCAGTCTGCCGGAGTCTTCTGGAGTTTTTAGAATATTAGATTGTTAAACTCATAAGGCTTTTATCTATAATAGAAAATCTGAACTTGCTAAAGGGCTTGATCTTCCTTGGGTTCGCTTGAAGGTGACTTTAGTAATGAGACTGATTGGGCCATGGACAGAGGATCATGAGCATCATTCTGTTTCCTTGATAAAGTATGAAGTTTAGACTTTAGAATCCTCTTTTTGGCACCCATCTCTTTGATGCCTATATTAGTTGGTGCCCTTCTAGAATTTCTTGCAAAGGGTGGAGTTGCTAGGGATGGTTTCTTTTTTGGTGTTTGTTTTCCCTTTTATGTATGTGTATGTTTTTACATATTTGGTTACAGTTCAACTCAATTCAAGTGCTTTAAAAGCAAGGAGTGCAACTGAAGCACAGGGGTATCTAGAGCCTGAGGCTGGAGGCACAAAGTGAGGCATGCACCTTAACAAAGTGATGCGCCACCTCTGAAAAAGGTTTACAAGAAAATTTTAATATATCATAATATGATAATTTTCCAATCTATATTCCAAAGAAATAAAATCATGTTGGCTCTAGAGCGTTGTGTTATTAACATTAACACAAAGATTTGTAGCCTTGTAGGTTCAGGCCCTAGAGAGGCTAAAACTATGACACCCACTTACATGTGACAATCTGTTCCTCATACAACATTGATTACTCCATGGATGCTTCTAGAGCATATTTCATACCATTTATGCTTTTGAAATATGTAAACTGTATGCTTTAACAAATCATGTTATCAAATATTTCTACATGTTGAATGCTTAATATTTTGATAAGTATTGGGAAATGAAACTTGGCTTAAAAAACTAGACACAAAAGCATGATATAAGCATAGTAGATAGCAAACCCCTAACCATATCCCTTCTTCGGATGTTAGGAAACGTTTAGTTACATCACCATTCTCATATCTTTGTCCATGTAGGTATTAATACCTAGGTATCATGCGGATAGATTAAAAATCATAACTACGGCATAATAATATTAGGAAATTACCTTTTTAAACATCAAAGTCAAAGAAATTTATCAAAATACTGGAACAAAGTCAAGTGAGGCACTGAGGCTGATGGCAAACAGGTGGGGGGTCCTCACATAAAATCTTTTTTTTTTTTTTTGATCAATAACTGGAATTCATTAGATTAAAAGAATTTAGTTACTGTGCTCCAAAGAGAGATAAACAGTCTTAACTCTCTCCAGTAAGATAACAAAAACGAAAAAGTTACAGAACAGCCGAAAACATTTGATCCCTTCCCACCCCCTGCTTTGCCAAAGCATCGGCAAATGCATTTGCTGTTCTCTTGACCCACTGAAACTTGATTTCCAGTCCTCTAGTTAGCCAATTAATCTCCCTCCTCTCATTAGCATATTTCCAAAGTCCACTACCTTCTTGTAACTAACTTAAGACCAGCTTTGAGTCCCATTCAATGACTAACTTTTGTATATTCAGTTCCTTAGACTTCTTTATACCCTCTAGTACTGCATAGACCTCAATTTTGAGAGAGTCTCCAAACCCAATGGGACCTGAATACAAAGCGAGATCCTTCCCATCTTCATCTCTAAAAACCTCTCCTACACCTGATGGACCTGGATTTCCCTCACTACTTCCATCAAAGTTTAGCTTTATAAGTCTGCTTCCTGGTGGTGACCACATAGGACAAACTAAAGAGCGGGCAGGAGCAGAATTTGCCACCTCCAGCCAGCTATTCAGCAACATATCCGTAGAAATATCAACAAATAGGTCCAAGGATTTCAGCCAACGTACCACCCTCATTGTTATTTTTTGACAAATATGTACCACCCTCATTGTTACTACTTCAATAAGGCATTCTTTTACTTCTTTCAACTTCAAAGAAAATTCTGGTGTTCCTTTCCTCCCAAAGAGTCCAGCAAACAACAACCCTCACACATCTCCACATTATTCTTCCCCTTTTGTTTGGCCAACTAAAGAATGAGGGGCTAAACAAACTTTGAATGTTTGGTGGTGGGGTCCACTTGCAACCAAAAGAGGAAAGAAACTATTCCCAAAGATCAGTAGCAAAGGGGCAAGAAACTAATAAGTGGTAGGAGCTTTCACCATTAGCCTTGCAAAGAGTGCACCAATTCAGAGACAAGCACCAAAAAGGCCTTTTTCTTTGGAGTATGTCACAAGTATTACATCTTCCGAGGAAGGCTTCCCAATAAAAGGCTCCAATCCTTGGAGGAATCGTCTCACCCCAAACATCCTTAACTAGAAAGTTTTGTGCAAATGGATTGGATGAAGGCAGTAGGGATTGGAAGAAAGAGGCACAAGAGAAGGTTCCAAAGGGAGTTAGGGTTCACAGTCTCTTATCCCTCCCAAAGGGATCCAACACCACCCAGTCTAAGATCTCAACCAGACTCGTGACATTTTCAACCTCTACATCCCTTAAGCCTCTTCTAAGCCCCAGATCTCAATCAAACCCAAAATTAGACTGAGAAGGAACTAGAAAATTGGACACAACCTTGCCCTTAAACCGGGAGAGTGAAAACAAGGAAGGGAATTGGTCTTTCAAAGGTATCTCACCCACCCAAATGTGCTCCCAAAACTTTACCTGATTCCCAGAGCAGAGGTCATACCTGATGTGCTGCAAAAAGGAAGGAAGAATGGCATGTATAGATTTCCAAGGAGAGGCACTAACAGACCTTGCCAAAGTCCCATTGTCCTAGCCATCATTTGCCTAACAATGAATACTTAAAATTACCCTCATCCATAGTTTATCCCTCTCACTCCCAACCTCCACAGCCATTTCCCCACATAAAATCATTTTTGTTTCTTAAATTTAAGTGTTGTGGTGTTCTTTCTCCATTTACCTGACATTTTCTTTATTTTATTATCCTATTAAATTGTTTAAACAGCTACTAAATATTATCTTGTTAAATAGTTCATTGTGATATTTATTGTTACATTATGTGCTCTCAATAAAATCATTTTGCACTACTTCAACCCATGTCCTATTTGGCCTGCCCTTGCTATTCTAAACCTTTCAACTTGCAACAAGTCACTTCTTAGTGGTGTTGTGGAAGGTCTTCTCTACATTTGACCAAACCAGTGTTTTAAAAGGTGTGGGAGGCGTATGCCTAGAGGTGTGCCTCCAGGCGAGGCGCCCCCAAAATGCCCTGAGGCACAGGCCAAAGGCGATGACATCTCTAAGGTGAGGCATATGCCTCGTGCTTTTTTCATGAGGTATGCTTGAAGCGTACACCTCATGCGCCTCATGCACACCTCATATAAAAACAAAAAGAAAAAAGAAAAAAGAAGAAAGGGAAAGGGAAGGGAAAGAAAAAAGAGAAAATGAAAGAAAAGAAAAGAAGGGAAGAATAGATAAGGGAAAAGAAAGTGGACCGGGGGGCTTTGGCCCCCCTTTCAACTAGTGTTATTCATCTTCATTCTTTTTAATATAAAAGATTTTTATTAAAAATAAAGAAAAATGAGATCCTCCTTCCTCTTCCCCTTCCTCCTCATCCCCCTCCTCTTAAGGAGGCTTATGCCTCCTTGTGTTCGGGAGGCTTATGCCTCTTATGTTCTGAACTACACCTCACACATCTTGGTAGTGGAATGCCTTGCGTCACGTCTCCACATTTTAAAACATTGGACCAAACCATCTTAATATACTTCATTTTATTACCTATAGGGGCTACTCTTAGATTCCTATAAACATTTTAATTTCTAATCCTATTAACATTTCCACTTGTAAATAACACTTAGTTGCTGTATACAATAAGTAGAAAGAGAGAAAACAGAGTGGACAGAAAAGATTAAGAAAAGAATGATGAGAGATTAATGGGACTCTCACCATTCAGCTGCTATTACACCATTCAGTGTAATGAATTTTCTGCCCCTATTAAGTGTAGGGACATAACATAAAATATAACTTAGATAACTCAAGATAAATTGATATAAATGCCCTTATGGGCAATAACTCAAGATAAATTGACATAAATGCCCCTATCGGCAAGCCTACATTTCTAAACATCGCTAAACGCATTTTTTGGACATCATGTTTTTTGACTGCCAAAGACTTTTCTCAATACAATATTGTTGACCTATAACTGTTTTATAAAGTTTCCTTTTATCCCAAGTGGTACTATCCTATTCCTATCACATAGGGATCTGGGTGCACCCCTCTGTTATGCCCATCCACTCTAATTCTATGGGTGGCATCCTCCTCAATTTCCTCCTTTGTTATGGGCTATCAAACCAAGGTAACAAAAGAAGTCACATTGAGGTATCTCGTAGTCTCTATTACTAGTACCCTAATTTCCATACCTACAACATTTAATATGGTTGTGGGCTTTCTAGGGTGAAGGAAGGTAATTTGGGTGATAAATGATAGATATAGAAGAAAGTAGACTGCTTACCATCCACTAAATAATGAGTGGAAAAATAGATTTCAGTAAATTAGTACTTTAAAGTTTAGAATTAAGAATAATAGAAATAAGTGCTCCGGAATTAAGAAGAAAAGAATATACAGTAGAGAACTAGATCACTTAGAAATATTGAGGGGGAGAGAGTTGACTACGACTAGAAGTCACTAAACCAAATTTTTTATTCATCAAGTGAGTTCTTTTGATTTTTAATTACAATGTTTTTTATATATTCAATAAAGGGCTCAGATCTCCTTTTTTTTTGCTTCAGAGCTCAGATCTCCTTTTACAAACTCCAGTTCTAGCTTAGAAATTGACTAGAACTGAATCCTACATCCTAATTATATTAGAACTAAGGTAAAAGCCATTTATAACCCATAGGAGTTGGACTCCAATTTCTAAAATATTTCATGTGAGGCACAAGTTATATTAGGACTTACTTTTTGTACTGTTTTACTCCCTTTATCTTTTATTTCTTTCCTAATAAAATTCTTGTCATTGATATTCATCAAAAATAAATAAAATAAAATTCTTGTCATTGATCCGAAAGAATGCAAATTAGTAATAGGAGAATAAAAAACTTTGTCAGAATATAATGAAACTGTGAGGTAACACCTACAACAGTATAAGACCCACTTTAATTACCCCAGAAATTATTATGTCATCTACTAATATCAAAATAGATTACTTTCACGTGTATAGGAATACTTTTAAACATGTTACTATATTAGTTGGATTCTTTGATAAAAGATGCCCTATGATTGATAAAGCCAGGATGAGATTATAACGAATTACACATCACTGTAAGAATTAGGAGGGATAAGGGTTAAATGATACACTGAATGATAATGATGATAATATTGATGTGTTGGCCATATAAGAACCAATTAATTGCATATATTGTGCCATATACAAATTGACGCGTTACATGATATGCTGTATTTGTGCATAAAAAATGTATTAGATGCTACATGAGTTTAATTTATTTGATTCATGCTACGTGTGTCTGTGTGTGTGACACACTTAAAAGGATTTCATCATTGTATTTGTCATTGAAAAGTTTAGCTTTTACCCTCTTATTGGGTCCAATCCAAATAATCCCCCTTTCTATCCTCCCTGCACCGTCGTCATAATGTAATTTATGGAGAAGGTTTAATCGAACTGAATCATGATTTGTATTGTAGAAATTTTATATAATAAAAGACTTCTATATTTAGAAAAATGTGTTTGCTCAATTTTCAATCCAAATTCGCCTTGTAAGTAATTAATACAACAAAGTATATCACATGTACAACATAAGTTTAAGGTAATACAAAGTCAATTAATGGCTCCCAGTCTAAAATGGAGTTTTACATCAAATTCAATCTATGCATGATGGAAAATAAACTAAATGAACTTTAAAATTAAGTTCAAGAAAACAAAACGTTTCATTATAATAAGAATTTTAAAAGAAATCTCCATAAAAAAATAGAAAGTGGAAATGGCAAAGAAAGTTACCATTTCCAATGAAAAAACTAAAGATCTAGGGTCAAACTGATCCGTGTTGCATGAATCAGATAATCATAAGATTCATGAATTGACATGTATGCTTGAAATAATTGTTGTAACTTATTTTGCAGAAATGGACTCAGTGAATTTTATTGTATATCTTAAAATTTTGACAACTATGCCTTACACTAAACCCGACTTCTGATCATACCACCATTATCATCCTTGAAAACTGGGTATGTTGACTCCAAGTTGAACATTTTTTTGATAAGTTACTCCAAGTTAAACATTGTACATTGTAGCATATCTTAGAACCATTCTAGCTAACTTCTCAATATCGTGCTGCCCCCACCCCCAAAAGAAATGAGAAAAAAAAAATTATAGCTGAAATACTCTACCAAGACAACTGATGCTATCAACTCTTTTCATTTTCAGTACTTGCTCTCATCTTCAATGGACAAAACAGTACGCCTGTGGCATATGTCTAGCAACTCTTGCTTGAAAATGTTCTCACACAGTGATTATGGTAAGTGTTTGTTTTTCTACAACTCGGTTAGTTGTTTACCTCTTACAAAAATCGTATCCTTTGAAACTTTCTGCTCATTTTGTTGCAATATCTGTTTTTTTTTTCATTATCCTTTTTATAAGTATTTTTCTTTTTCGTTATCTAATTATGTTGCCTTGTTTTTGTTTATGTATTTATGTGTGTGGGTTTCCTTGACACAGTGACTTGCATCCAATTTAATCCTGTAGACGATAGATTTTTCATTAGTGGATCGCTAGATAATAAGGTTCGCATGTGGAGTATTCCAGATCGTCAAGTTGTTGATTGGAAAGATCTACATGAGATGGTCACTGCTGCTTGCTATACACCTGATGGCCAGGTTTTTCATGTTTGATAATCTCAGTAACTCTTCACTTCATGTATAAGATTTGCAGTTATTCCAAGAAATAGTATGTTTGCATGATAACCTGTGGCTCAAGGATTTTTATTTGATGACTTTTGAAGGGTGCATTAGTTGGTTCACACAAGGGGAGCTGCCACCGGTATAACACATCTGGTATGACTCAAGGATTCCCTGTTATCTCTGATTTATTACTGTTTGCTTTTTGTTCACTGATAATGGTTATTAGATGTTCAAGGCCAAAATCCCAATTAGAGACAATTCTGTAAATCTATTCAACTATGCATGGTTGGATGGATTCTATCTCTGCCACTTCCCTCTCTGGAATTATGGTCTAGCCTTTAGTCTACATACATATGGTGCCATAAACAGATTTGTATAGGCATATAAGTTTAGTCTAATTAAATGTTTTCTTGATAAAGATTCAACCCAGTATTTCTTTGAACCAAATTTTAATCAGATCAGAGTTGAATATCCATCCTCAATTCAAATAAATTCTCTTAAAATGCCAGAGGTTAGGTCTGTGTGCAGTCTACCCCTCCCAAGACCCTGGGCTACCAGGACTTAACGGCCTTATATGGATTTTTTTTTGTTCTTTTTTTTATCAGTTACTAGTAAAAAAAATTTACTTTCATGTGAAAGTAATAAAAACAACAAAGCTGGGATGAGCCAGGTACCCCAAAAAGCATCATGTTTGCAAGGAATTAGAAAGCCTACCCCAACCATGGTAGGTCCCCAATATAACTATTACCTATCAATTCCTTCTCTGCCAGACGTTTGTATCCATTTAAACAATACGTCCATGGTGGATGTCAAAGACCTCACTTCTCTAATACAATGAAGACAGATCCAAGCTACAATGTTTTTCTTCTCTGCAGTATTGCAGGGACTCAAACATCGGTGCCAGAATCTGGCACATGTCCAGGAGTCCGAGTTGGTGAAAAAAATATGTAGACATGTCTCACGTAAATAATATTTTATTATATAGTTAATATATGGTTTTTATATTATTTGTCAAATTCATAGAACTATATATGCATAACAATGGAAATAGTTAAATTACTTTTACAATTGACGAGTAAAACTCACAGTCTTTGGTTATTCCCCACAAGGCCACACTTGTTGTTAATTGGAAAAGATCCAATAAAAAATGGTTCATAAGATAGGTATAAATTGGAAAAACATAAATACTAATGACAGAAATAAACAGACAAGTTATTACCCTCGTGGTCCCAGAATGTCCTACTTTAATCACCAGGATTTCCAATTCAATGGCCATCAATGTTCAATTTAATAATGTCAGGCTGTTAAGAAACCCATGTAGGAACATTTGGCTCACATCTCGTCAAGGACGAAGCAACATACTGCCTACCTGCAAAGGAAGTCATCCATGCTAAACCCCTGGATTCCATTCTTGTCACTTAAAAGATTTGAACCACAAGCCTTTGCCCTTTGGAAATTAAAAGAATTCTCTAAGGTATTAAATTGTGTAGTTGCTTATCTGTTGATCTTCCTAAACATATATCTTTTTTCATCCTCTTCTTTCAGAAAATAAATTGCATGGTGACTGTACAATCGATCTACAGAACAAGAAAAAGAAATCTCATCTCAAAAAGATCACTGGTTTCCAGGTAACGTCACTTTGTATTTGCATATTTGCTTCAACCTTCTCTTTTAAATGGAACCTATTTTTTGTTATTTCCATATGCAGTGACTTATTATCTTTCTGTATCTTTATAAACAATATGGAATTTATATTCTGAAATCCAAAGTTTATATATTCTTAAATAACTGATTTGTTTTGTCAAACAGTTTGTGCCAGGGAGTTCCTCAGAAGTGCTTATTACATCTGCAGATTCACGAATCCGGGTTGTTGATGATAAGGAATTAGTTCACAAATTCAAAGGTATAGAACTCGATATCTCTTATGTTAATTTTTTTTAGCTCTCTTCAGGATGTTATTTTGTGCATGGAATTTATGCTAGTTGACTTCTTGTTCTCAACTTTAAAGGTGCTAGTAGAAGTCGGTATCTATTTATCATTCATTGTTTTCAGGCTGCTGCTCCATGCATGGGGAGATATTGACCTGAAAATTGGGTCCAGTGAACCTGTCTAGGTCAAGTTTTAGCGTAACTTGATGAGAGACCAAGGCTAACTGAGGTTTAGTTAATAAGTCAACATTTAACTCGTTGGTTATAAACTATAATTGATTATGGGGGTTTCAAGATACCTAGTTTGCAAAATGTATCCAATAATTGTCTCACTTGTGTGAAAGTTCCAGTAGGCTGCACAAACTGGGAAGGGTTTGCCTTTCTGTTGGAAAGTGTGGAACTGTGGATTTGTTACATCCCCCTACTGTGGCAGGAAAAAAAAAAGTAAAAGAGGTCTAGAAAGTGCCATAATTGACCTGATTAGGCTACTCTTTTACTACTATAATCGCCATTGCCATAATTACTATAGTCATAGTAATAATAAATACAATAGTTATGATTTAACAATGAATTTTTGTTAAGTGTCCCATCTTTAATGCCACATTATCCATGAAATTTGTTGAGAGATTCTATGCTTTAGGACTTACTTTTGTACTTGATCAAGAGACCAATCACAATTAAAAGAAGGGATTTTTAGCCTGCACTCCACCTCAGAATTCAGATTTGAACTGCAGACCTACAACAATTCAAATTTATGAACAGCTCCACCTATAACACCCATACCCACCCGTGAATTGGCATCAATTCCAAGCTGGCACCTACCCCCAACTGTACGGTAGAGCTAGGATTTCAGATGTGGACTGAACGGTAAAAACCCCTTAAAAGAAAAGAAAAGTTGCTTGTGGTAAGATTGAGAGTCTTTTGTTTTGATAGGTGACTCGCTTAAAGGAATTAAAAGGATTTCAAATTTTCACCTTCTATAAAGATTTGGGGGCAACTTACTGATCAAAAAAAAAAAGAAAAGATTTGGGGGCAACTTACTGATCAAAAAAAAAAAAAGATTTGGGGGCAACTTTATTAACCTGCGTTGTTGAGGTAGTTGTCATATGGAGACAATATTCTTAATCCTTTTTGTTTGTCACATCCTAAAATGTAATAAATTAAAGCTACAGTTACAGAACTGCAATACAAGCAATGCCGGGTACTCTCCAAGGAGCCATGTAACTTATATTTTTTGGTATACATTTCCCCCCAAGTAGATGGAGATCTCATGTCTGATTGTAGCTGTTGCTTTTGTTGTGATATTCCTTGGCAGGGTTTCGCAATACAAGCAGTCAAATCTCAGCCTCATTGACAGCAGATGGGAATTATGTAGTATGTGCCAGTGAGGACTCTTATGTGTATGTGTGGAAATACGAATGTGGTTCCAGACCAAGCCGAAGCAAATGTGTGACTGTCACACACTGTTATGAGCATTTCCATTGTCAGGGTGTATCAGTGGCCATCCCTTGGCCTGGCATGGATGGCACCAGTGATATGCAGGATACTTACAGCGGGGAACACAATGATCTTGATGGCAACCTTGATGAAGTCCCTACAGCCAATCATCCACCTTCACCTGTCAAAGAGGAAAATGGGAGTGAGGGTTTATTGCCTGCATATGGATGCATCAACAGCCCATTACACGGTATCATTTCCAGCTCCAACAGCAGTTACTTCTTTGATAGGATGTCAGCAACCTGGCCTGAAGAAAGGCTGCTTTTGGCAGCTAAGAACCAGAGCCCTCGTAACAGCTTCGATCTCTCCAATGGTGTGATGCAAGGTAGGGCAGCTTGGGGTATGGTCATTGTGACAGCAGGCCATAGAGGTGAAATCAAAACATTCCAAAATTTCGGACTGCCTGTCCGAATCTAAGGCACCTCAAGAAATTGGATGCAGCCTAGGTAACTTGGCTACATATACGTATGATAGATACAACCATGTAACCAAGTTGTCAAGAGGAGGAAAAATGGTTGTTTTTCTTTTTGTGTATAGAAAGAAATATATGGTGAGGATTGTAATATTTGGGAGTGTTGCCATCCCTTGCTTCCATGTTCTCGTGTTTGCTGGATGTGGGAAGAGAGAGAGAGAGAGAAAGAGGGCACGGAGCCGGGGAGGAATAAATAGATAGGCTTTGTCAAAGAAAAAGGCAAAAAAAGCCACACAATGGATTTTAGGAGTTATCCCAAGGATTAGTGCAAAATGGGATATTTGTAGAGTCAAAGAGCATGGGGAAAGAGGATCTTGGATTTCAAAGAATTCTTTTTTTTCCAACAAGTAAAGAAGTTGAAGTTGCATTGTTGTCATTGTTCTTATTAAATCCATCACCCGGGGATAGGGAAGAAAATTCCAAAAGCCTTAACAAGACTCGACTTGAACAAAGACACCTCTGGGCTCTGGCAAAGGCGTTATACTGTTATGATCAACAGTACACTAGGGAGGCCGTTGCCTTATGTATGTCTCAGTCTCACATTAGCTCCTATATAACACTAACACTAACACCAGCTTTTTTGTTACTTGTGTGGGACCCATTTCACATGCTCTTCATAAGTAAGCAAATCTTCCATCTAACAAAACTTCAACCACAGAGTGGGCCTTGAAAATTAAAGACCAGTAGCAATTGAAATTTGATTAGTACAGAGAAGAAATGATATTGAAATCGGTTAAACTTTTTCTTGGAAAAAAAAGTCTCATTGAAGGGCCAGGTTAAATTCACCCACAACCAATTTCATTTTTTGTTAGGAAATTGAATCTAGTCACTATCCTATGAAATATGGGACATCCTTTAACACCAATCTGTGCGTCACATAGGTCCTTAATAAATAGTCAAATAAAACAAGAATCCAAAGAACTGCAAGTATAGCTTAGACGCATAAATAAAATTCCTAAATAGAATATTCTAGTAACCATGTCAATTGTCAAATAAAATAACAAAAAAATTAGGGCAATACTCCACGCTTGTTGGTTAGGGCGCTCCCTCCTCTCACGCCATCCCCCCTCATAGTTTGGGGGTTCTGTCACTTGACTACCTAAACTTTTTGGAGAATCCCTTCCAAACTTTCACCTGACTATGACATAAACCACTTCATTAGCATTTATTTCATCAAAGAAATGATGGAATATGCCTGTATGTTTTATTGGATATTTTCAAAACCCTAAAATGGCTTTTTTCTTGATTTGTAGGATGATTTTACCCATTTCTCATAAATATTGTTAAAAAAAATATTTTCAATCAAGATCTCCTAACTAAATATCCAGTCCTTTTAACTGGAAACTTTAAACTAGACATTAGCCAACTACTCTTGAAAATCCAAGTGAAATACAAAGATTTCAACTAATCTAGGCCATGAAAATGGAATGATAGATGAAACTAAATATATGGTCCACTGATACATCAGCGTGTACAAGAATGTGTGACATTGATGGAGGGAAGGGAGATCCATCATATAGATAGCCGAACCATGCAAGGTGGTTGAGCAAATTTTCAAAAATTTTCTTTCTCCCTTTCGGAAATTGTATTTCCAGTTTTAGAAAAACTGCATTTTTCAATAATCGTTCTTGAAACAAGCCAAACTAGATCTGGAACCAAAATAAAGGGAGGGTTATACCTGATACAAAATCTACAAACGTAGCTCCCAAAGTAGGTGTTCACGCCCAAAGAGGGTACCAAATCCTGCCTCCACTGAAAATGGCGCAGCTTGAGATGAAGCAGGATCAGCAATGCATTCCTTCAGCAAGAACTGCAATCCTTCAACAAGGATTAAGTAAGGGAGGTGAGCACAAATTCAGATATGATTTTTCTTGCAAAAATCAGAATCAAGATCCAATCTTGATTAGTCCAAGAAAGGAAATCGAATAGGGTATATGGCGGCAAGAGCAGAAGGAAAGGGAGAACTGAAAACAGTGTGTAACCTTTTAGCAGTTCACGCTGCTCTATTTAAATAGATCTTAAAGAGCTTATCTTCTAATATGATTAGGAATTTCTTAATCCAAATCTCTATTTGGACATGGACTCTTTAAGTGGATAAGATTTATCATCTTATCCTTATCTACTAATCCAAACCCATATTTAAACCCAAATTTGTCCATATTGATTAATCATATTAATCCAGGGCCCTAGGCCCATTAAGTAAGTGGGCTCTCCTCCCCTTTTAATTGCTGGCTAGCTTGGCTCTTCTTGTATGGCGTGGGACCCTAACATTGATATTCACAAAAGCCATATGGATTCAACCTAGCCTTGTTACAAGGCTTGGCCGAATTCACTATTAAATACAGTAAACCCCTAAACCCATCAGTAAGGGCTCTTAATAGGCTCAATATTTATACTAAATGGTCATTGAGTCCAACCACCTTATGAAGGCCCAAGGACTATGGTCTTAAGTGAGATTAGCCCATCAGGTATATAAGCCCTAAATGGTCTTACACTTAACCTCTCAACCCATAATAATCAAACATTGCCCGACAAGAGAGGATCTCTCCCTCGGCTGCAAGGTACAGTGTCACACTTGCTTAGAATGGATCTCGGGAATTAAAACCTTTTGCATATATATATATGTGTGTGTGTGTGTATGTGTGTGTGTGTGTGTGTGTGTGTATGTATGTATGTATGTATGTATTGCAAAACAAATCTCAAACAAGTTTGAAATCAATTGTCGATAGTTTAGGTTACCATTAGAAAGAGTGCAGTCCCCGATCATTCATTTTGTTCAACAAAGGGGCTGATCCTGTCACTATAATCACCTACTTAGGTGAATTCTAACTGTCCTAACATACCCAGGTTTTGAGCCTCGCTAAGGATCTCATTGATTGGCATATCAAAGATAGCCCAATCCAACACCTAGTATAGTACTATAATTGAGTCTAGGGGTCAAGTGTAACTTTCCAGTTTTTCCCATCTGTCTCCAATGTCCAGGGCATAACTGAAAAATGGTCCGATTCAAAGTTTGAAGAAAACCCACATTACATGTGCTTTGGCTCTAACCCTGGCAACTGAGACAAGCTGCCCCAACCGACTTGGTAGCACATTAGTGTTAGCCTTGGTAGGATAAGCCTCCCCAGGTCTATCCAATGGCTGTGAATATTCTAAACTAACATGAGTCTCATAAGTGTCAAATTTAAGGATAATTACGTAGAAACATACCAAATATAACATGAATCAATTATGTACTTTATTCATTTATAATAAATGTCAAAAGTACATCAATATGATTGGAGATAAGGGCATATACTATCTAACAATTGATGCATGTTTTACATTTAAATTGTTATTAATTCACTTATACAATTATTTTATGTACCAAAAGAATTCTTTGAAAGTCGTAAAATTTTGTATTTTGTAATATATATTGAATGACGTTCAACCAAATCAAGTTCACAAACCAAAATTTTAGCTGCTCAATCATCTATTTGATTCATAATTAAGACATGTAGATAATATAGGGGGTGTTTGGAATTTGTAAAGTCTTATTATGTGGATTTCAGGCAAAGTTTGGTCCTTTTTTTCTATTTGGCAATGAAAGACAGTGAAAAGACTTATACCCTAAAATACTTATGGAAGCCAGAAATGGCCAAAGATCTTGAAGCTTCCTAGCTTTTGTACCTAAAATCTTTCATTTAACAACTTAATAGATCATGGTAGAATAGGATACTTACCAAATGGTCTACATCTTTAAAGACAAGACCCCCAAAACCTCATTGTGTCTTTTGGCCATCTAAACTATCCAAAGATTTTCCTAAAAGACTTGTCAAACGATAGTTAAATATAGGATTTGAAGGCGATGATCTATCTAAAACAAAATAAATAAATAAATTTGAGGGCTTTTCTTTTCTTTTAACTTTTTGTCTCTTAAAACCTGATGGAGGTAGAAAATCGGCGATCCCTGCTAGTAGTGGTGATCTAGAGCTCGAATGCAACTCTGGTGACAGATATGCAAAAAAGCAGTGTCAAAGGGCCCAAGTGGGTGTCCTGGGCAAAGAACTCCGGCGCTTAAGTCAGTAATTATCGAGTTTTTTGAGGTGATAAAAAGTATGTGAGTAGGAATTAGAGAGTAAATATGTCGGTATGTGAACGTACCTTGTGAGAGTAGAGGTTTACCCTTATATAGACCTCGAGGCTCAGTTGAGACGTGTTCGGCACGTTCGAGCTACTGATGACTATGCATCTGCTGTTTACGGGATGCACCCACATGGCACCACATGCGACTTTATCCGCTTCCCCGTGAAGCAGGGCGAGCGGGTTTATCACTGCTAGGTGTCCTTCGCGCTTGTGCACGTCTCGATCCAGCCATGTCATGCATACAGAGGAGAGAAAGAGCGTCCCATTTAGGTCAAAGGCATATTGAGGTCGGAGAGGTCCCTCAGGTCACAAACTACCCAGGTCGAGTAAAAAGGTCAGTAACACAGTATGGTTGAATCCAGACTTGTAGGCCATTCTGTCGAAGTGCTCTTAAGTGAGGTCAGAGTTCACTACTACTTCCTAAGCTGATCTATCGAGGTGCCTTTAAGCGAGATACTGTCACACGTGTTGCCAAGGTAACATAAAGTATTTCCATCACTACGTGGCAGAATATAATTGGAGAGGAGTATCGTCTCTCATCAAAACACATGGCGTTAAGATAGGATAAATATTTAAGCAAGGAGAATGCTATGTTCAGGTTAAACGAGAAAAAAAAAAACTATATATGTGAATAAAGAATTCTATTGAATAGATTTGTTTTAATTTTTTATTTACTTATTTTGTTACTGTCAATAAATTCTGCAAGAGTTAGTAGGGTCATTCTTCTAACTCGGAAAGCTAAGAGTCATGCATACTGAGAATCATCATCATCATGACTTCACTCCTTTTGATTGAGAATTCTTTTATTTCTCCGCCAACTTTTGCTTGAGAATTCAGAATAACTGAAATAGAACATAGTTTAAAGAAAGAGAGAAGACTAAAGACAATCCATCTTGGCCAAGATGGTATAATTAATGGTAATACCTCGTAGAGAAAATAAATTGAAACGAAATATTGATCAAAACCAAAATACAACAGAAGAATTAACTGAAATTAAAAGCATACTTTTAACGACCTGAGGTTTTAATACCTCCTCTTGCTATCATTTATTATTATTTACGTTAGGTAAGGTTTTAAAAACTGGTTTGGAAACAGAACTGCTTTGGCCATTGGCCATTGGTTTCCACGTCAGACTGTTTGATCTGAATGGATCAGTCCTTGACATCTTAAAATTAAAGAAAAATAAAAATAATTAAAATAAAATGGCCTGGAAACCATTATTTAGATCGAATGGTTAAGGGGTCAATGATGGTTTTAATTATAGTGGGTGACTCAAAAAATAATTCAGTTGGGCCTGGGCTCCTTCCGCCAAATTTTGACCCAAAAGATACATACATTATTGCATATGTAAGAAAAGCCAAGTTGTGTGGGTAAGTTTTAATTCGCATTAAAATGTTTATTTACCTAAGGAGAAACTGTGATGGTAAAACCTTAGGCCGACAGGCATGAGAATGTGTGTTGATGAAGTCTGAGCAGGGAGCACTTTGCAAAAAGAAAATGTCAAAAGTTAGGTCTGTAACTGTAACTCTGTATCCAATCCACCCCTGACCCCTCCACAGAGGCATGAGCCTGATACAGTCTGTCGAATTCCAACATATGACCTTTCAAGTGGGTCCCTTATATGATATAGCCACATAATTAGGAATTTCTATGGATAAAGTCCCTACGTGACCCAATTTTGTAGCCCTTTTTCTTTTACATTAGGTATCCCTTGAGATACAGGTATACTTTGTTTTATCAGATGATTTTGAGAGGGTTAGGTGGTGTTTGGGATGGATGCCAATTTCTTTGAATTAGTGCCATGTATCAGTGATTCAAAAATCGCTGATTATTTTGGTGTTTGGCTAATTTATTAAAAATCATCGGATCATTTAGAAAATGATTATTAAAATCGGGCTGAAAAGAGAGATCGGCAAATTCGATAATTGTTCTTTTCAGACCGATTCTGATAATCACTATCAGATCATAACCCATTCCTGAGAAATCGACTGACATAACAGCAATAATACCAAATACACAATTTCCTTGATTTCTGATAAATTAATCAATGATGTCAAAAATTTGAGAAATTTCATCAGAAGAATCAGCATCGGTCCCAAACATCTCCTTCGATGTGGAACAAAGAAAAGAAAAAAGATGCTTTCCATTTTTATTTTTTATATATCAAAATGGAATATAAAAGTGAATTAATTAGAAAATATTGTGAAACATTAGTAGCATATGGTCTCTCTCTCTCTCAAGTGCTTGAGTGACTTGAGAGTCACACTTAAAGAACAGAACAGGACAGGTGGTACTGTCGTACACTGATTGTTTTGCTTTTGTTCACCTCCCCGACCGATTTCAGTTGGACTAGCTCTACAGTGCGTGACTACAGTTTACAATTAGAAGGTTTGTTGTCGTTGCCTGTGTTGTTATCTCTCAGTGTAGAAAACCATGTTCGTGCCTGTTAGGCTTCTGGGAAGTAGTTCAACCATTATTGATCCTGATCTGAGTCCTTTACTCCACAGTCTCCAATTGCAACTTATTAGTGAAATCCCATTCAACTGGGTTGGATGTTCTGTGTAGTATTCCTCATTGACTCAAATGATTCAACAAATTGCCACAGCTTGAAATTTGGCTTCAGTTCCAACCACCTAACCCCATTTCCTGTCATCATTTCAGTGGAAAGCCCACATCTATAGCTAAAGCTAACTACTGTATTGAAAAATAGAAATCAGCCACATGGAGATAATTAACATGTGGTTGATCCTATCCAGACTGTCTATCATATAGAGGACACATTGGATTGGCCAAATATATAATTGCACAAACCATATGCCCTAGAATATTGTATTGCCAATTTAATTTCTTAACCATTAATACTAATTTTTTTATTTGTATTTTGGGGAAATTATAGATAAGTATCCTATAATTTGGAGTTATTCACACTTAAGGACCTCGACTTTTAAGTACCACACAACCAAGTACCTTAAACTTTCAAAAATAACACCCATGTGTGCCTACAAATATTTCAAAATCCCAAAACCATTCTTCAGGGCTAGTTTCTTTTTTTTTTTTTTTTTTTAAGTTTTACTAGACTGACCTTGCATCTAAATCCGACCCATTCTCCCAAATCAGCTCGACAAATTCATTATCAAGACTGCATAGAAAGAATTTAATATGGGCAATTTGGTAATTTTACAATTCAGTGCAATGTGGGTTTTGGATTTGAGTGTTGATTTTTGAAAGTTCAGATTGTGGCACTTAAAACTTGAGGCCCTTAAGTGTCACTATCCCTATCCCTAAAGTACAAGTACCTATCTATAATTTTCCCTTAAATTTTTAATACAAAATTTAACAGGTTATAATGGTAGGTTTATTTTGTAATTAAACATGCAAAGTGATATTGGATAATAAATTTTTTTATTCCAAAAAATGGGTGGAGAGAATTACTGTCTCCAAACTGAGTAGGGTTCCCTTTTTTTCTTTTTTACACAATCAAATCCACTCTATGAATATAAAGATAATAAGCTAGCTATAATAACAAATAAACTTAGAGCATTCATTATATGTTTTTGGAGTAATGTAACTCAGATACCACCACTAATTAATAGCGTAAAATCCATGAACATTTTCATTGTTCCAATCTGTTCAGTTTGTAATTAACCTATGTATGAATTGCTTTTTACACAAAAAAAAAGGAAAAAATGATCCACACTCGGATGAATAACCAATTATAAAAGATTGAATCAACGGTTAGAAACAAGGATTATATTGTTTGGTAAATAGTCCATTTATTGGATGGTCAGAGGCACCCAATCAATCTACTTTTATATACATAAACCAAAAAAAATTCAAACTATCTTTTGATTTAGAAGATCTAAATTGGGTCTGCAACATTTTTCCTTCAAATTGAAAAGAATGTTTAACCAATTATCTCAAAAAGAGTGGGGTCATCAATCTGACTACTTAGCTGAGTTATCGAGTCAAAAACTGACTGAATCCTATTGGGTATTGGACTGTGATGTCTAGATCACAATCGGCTGACACCCGAGTTTAAGTTGGTGAGTCTCATCTACCGATTGCAAATGCCAATCACCAGTCAAAACTGGTCGACTGGTCTTTAGCCCGATTCTGGTGCAAACAAGCAAATGAAAGGAAAGAGACCTATTAATGAAGTTACATAACAATCGACTAAAATTACAAATTAAAATTGGTTTTTTAGGCCTTAATCCAAACTGATTCATCAAAACTAACAAGAAGGAATTAGTAGAGAAAATTGATCATGAGATTCCAAACAAATTGTTGATCGAGAAATTAAATCTACAGAATACATGCATGAATCAACATCCAGCCAGCCCAGCTGTTGAAGGCCCTGTAGCCCTCCTTTCTGACTCCTCTCCATCTCATCTAAATCTCAAAGCTGAAAAAAAAAAAAACACTCTGCTTTACATTTGTATTATACTGTTCATAGCATTCTATGATCTCATCATGTCGAAGAAAGAAGACAACACAAATACACGCATAAATCCAGAACGAGAGAAAAGAGAGGCAGAGAAAGACAGACGGTTGGACTGGCCTGAAGCCTGAACTAAAAAACGACAGCTTCAAACAGTCGTTGTCTCAGTAAGAAGAGTTACAGAGAGAGACACCATTGCAGATCTTCTCTTCTCCATTGCAAGCACCCCAACATATGTGACAGTTTAGAATGTAAAATATTATTATATAAAACTAAGAAAAAAAAGGGTGAAAATGGTAAAAAAAAAAGCGTCAACCTCTCCACACACTCACATACACTCAGAGAGAGAGGATGCTGCGTAAGCAACTGACGAGAAAGACGATTCCTCTTTCATCATTGTAGGCTATCATCCCAAGGCTGCTTCACATCAGTAGTGATTAGTGACGTGAGATCGTCCCAGCTCCAGTAGCTCGTCGAATCCATGAAACCACTTGTGGTGGGCGTTTGCCAAAGCGGTGTCGTGGGCATTGTGGTGGTGTTGGTGGTGGTGATGGTTGTGGTGGTGATGGTGGAGTCCTCGGCGGTTTCGGCTTCTCCGGTGTAACTATTGTACACATCTGATGGTTGAAAGCCACAGGTGAAAGAGGACATTGAAGTGGGGTTGTCGACGAAGGAGCTTAAGCTTGTAAAGGGGAAGATGGGGTTAGGAGGCAAAGATAACGGCGAACCCAGTAAGCTGTCACTGCTGATGTTGATGATTTCGCCGTCGTCGTTGCTACTGACCTTGTTAGTATAATCCTGCTGCGGAGACAGAGGCAGCGATGACGAGGTTGGTGGATGAAGAAGCGACTGGTAGAGGATATCAGATATACTTCTGGAATCACCAAATGGAAGAGGAAGATGTTGTTGCTGCTGCAACTGCAACTGCTGTTGAGCTTGAATTGCCATGTTGTTTGTAGTATTACGACTTACACGGCCACTGGTGGAGGTGGTAGGATTCGCAGCTTTACCGGCGGCGGTGGTTGTTGTTGTGGTGGTAGTATTATGGGTGGTCTTGAGCCGCTTATTCTTACGCCCACCACCAACTGGAACATTGCGTAGTGTGCCTCCTTTGGTCCAGTGCCTCCTACAAGCCTTACAGAAATGGCGTGGCTGCGACCGATTATAATTGTTATAGTAACAGAACTTGGTGTTTGTTGAATCACACCTCGGACACTTCAGCGGTGTCGACTGTTGTTGCTGTTGCTCTTGCTGCTGCTCTTGCCTCACCTGAGGCGACTGAGGAGGCTTCGAAAGATCCAAAGCTCCGGGCTGCAACAAGCCATGGCCCCAGTCCAGCACCAACCCATCAACAGACACTTGCTTCGAACTCAAACCCATGACTTAGAAATTAAAGAAGACCAAATTAATTGAAATCCAAGGGACAATCGATCGAGTACTCTTCTTCTTCTTCTTTCCTGTTTGATCTAAAACCAATCAACTATTACCAAAACAATAAACACTAAAACTAACCCTTGGATCGAGGAGCGAGAAGAGAAATGAGTGTGAAGAAGAGAAGGCAGATGAGATTCTTGCGTTTAAGCCAAACGGAGGAGACCCAACAACACTGCACGACACAAATGGATGATGGAGCAAAACAGTTGGAAATCTGATGAGAAGCGAGCATGTCGAAAATGTCTAAATCCTAATCTATCTGTAAAGGGGTGAGAAGCAACTCAAACAAGATGAGCCCAATCCCACTCTTATGGTCTGTTAGATTTGTGAATGATTTGAATATTTGTGTGTGTGGGGACTATCAACTATGGCGTGATTCGACAGGAAACCCTGCTTACAGACATGAATTGGTCTCCCCTCTCTATCTCTCTCTATCTCTCTATATAGATATATAGTAAATAGTAATAGCAGCCTATCACTGATTATAGAATAATAGAGGCTCTAGTTTATCTGGCCACACCTGACCAGACCACCAGAGTTACTTAGTCCTTAAGGTGAAGGTGGAGAAAATGGGGTAAGTCTATCAGAATTTGACACGTGGATTCATGTTCCCACACCGCCCCTAGTGCCTCCCTTTCCTTCTTGTTTCCCCATAAACTACCATCGTTTAGATTTTTAATTAATTATGGCTACGTTTGGATAAGTTTTTGCTTTTGAGCCCAAAGCAGAAAGCTTAAAATTGGGGTTTTGTAATGGGTTTTTTGGGTTTCTAGATAATGAGTGAGAAAGTGTTTTTTTAGCGTTGGTGAGAACTGCTTTCAAAAAACATAATGATCTAAAGAAAAAACGGTTTGAAACCTGAGAGAACAAAGCCTAATTGGGGCTTTAAAAGCACAAATCCTGAAGCTTATACAAACGCAACCTAAATCAACTGAGCTGAGCTTATTTATGAAAGCTGAAAGGATGGGACGATGTACGCTTGCTACGGTCCACAGTTGCATTCGGTATACTCATCAGCATTTTGTTAGTGGGTTACAACACAACGAGACAAGGAGAGAGAGGCTGAGAGAGCAGACAGAGACTCAGAGAGAGAGAGAGAGAGGGAGGTCGGTGGGAAGCGATGGCTAGTGGGTAAGTGGTCTGGTGTGTCCACAGTGGGTGGGACCCTAGATAGAGGGGTGATGAGAGTAAACAGTTGTCAACACGTGATCTGAGGCTCTGGTATGGATGTGTACTATTTTTTTTAAACTCTCACTAGTGGCTGTGATCATACTTAACACGTGATAACAGGTTAAAAAGTGAAGGTTACACACGTGTGTGATTGCAATGAAAATGTGGACCACCTGAGACTGAGAGGGAGCAGTATAATTAAGTGTCTGTTTGGGAGGGTTTTCACTTTTCACGCATTGGTTTTCTAGTGTTACATGACCTGAGAAACCAAGAAAGCTGTGAAGTTATATTTGGTAAAAAACCAAAAAAAAAAAAATTCGACATTTCCATTTCTAAAGCGACTCAGTCAATGCAATTCAACCGAAGCCCCCTCCCAAACGGGCTCTAATGTTCATTAGGTGGGAATGTAGAATATTGACTGTAGCAATGGCAGCCTGGCCACAGGCCCAGGCCCACAGGCCACGGCCCTTCTCACCGGTATTGATTAGGCTTCTGACCGTCTAATTTGACAATGTTCTCTTTTGACAATTTAAATATATATTATATAATCCTTCCCTAATATCTACCCTTCACACAGATGGTTAGCCTGATTAAATTAGCTTCTTTGAAACTACTTCTGAACTTACATTTGCACCATGTTTTTCAATTTCCCAATCAACATTTTGGTAGAAACCATGAAAGTTCAAAGAATTGATTAGGGTTCATTTTATTTTGATTACATTGTTTTTGCAATAGAATTTCTAGGCAAAAACTAAGTTTTTCTTTGTATACAGTGAAATATATTAAATGTACATGTCATGCCCATATACTTGGACAAAGCTAATTTGTTTAGTTGAGTATGCTCAATTTCTCATATTCGTAATACAAGTAAAAATTATACACTTTGTATTGCTGGCTAGTTTTTTAAAGATTCATTTTGACAAAGTTTCAGCCATTGGGTTTTTGAAACCATCTTTCAGGGAAAAAATGCAAGGTTTGTGTTATCATCGTCGCCTTCTCCCAAACTACAGGAGTTTGTTACATGAATTCTGAGTTATCATTCCTTTTTTTTTCTCATATTCATTGTTAAATTAGGAGCATTCCAGTCATTTTTTATTATGCCCAATTGCCCATTAAAGTTTCATTTCTCATTACTTTAATCCATGTCTTGTTGGTCTGTCTCTAGATATTCCGGCCCCTTCAACTGGTAACAGATTATTTCTTATACCCTTTTACAGACCATCTTCTCTGTAACCATTTCGATATACTTTTTCTCATTTTATCACTTATTGAAGCTATACTAGATTGCTTTGAATGTAAAGTTTGCATATAATATTCAATTGCTTTTAGTCTCAGTTTGGAAGGAGTACAAATACAAATATGTAGAGTGCAAAACTTTGTGTTTTGTTAAGCTAGCCAGCCTTCTGAAATGAAGACCTTTGGTAAGCTAGTTCCTAGAATTTATACCAAATATGGATGCTAGTGATCAACCAAAAAAATGGTCCATTGAACCTGTCTAGGGTCCAACCCAGATGAGCTGTGTTTTCTCCAAGATAGAGATAGAGAGAGAGAGAGAGAGAGAGAGAGAGGTTTCTACTTGAAAGGACTTTTTTTGGATTTTGAGAGTGAGAAAGTTGGTCAATGGGATTTTGGTTGTCATTGACCAAGATACTCGTGTTCTTTTTTTTAGATTTATATCAGATTCATGGAAAATTTATTTTCTTTGGTAGATAACTAACTTTTGCACCGGGAGGAAAGTTGCTAATACTCATATAAGACAAAATTATCTCTTTTAATAATGAATTTTTATGACTAAAATGGCCATTGTCTTATTTACCTGGAAAATGAAAGAACATGAATAAATACACTGATTATTTACCCAGATGAGTGCATTTACCTGAGTAAGTAACTTCCTGAAAAAAACAAACCGGGTCAAATTATTTTAAAAATATTTTGAATTGAACAATACAATTTGTTATTTCTGTATAAAATGTTAAATTTGATATTCTCACACACATGCATTGTGGGGCAATAAATATTTATTACAAACTTGTATTCATCAACCCAAAAGACAATAGCAACATAACTCCGTTGCACCAAACACCCCCTTAAGGTTTGGAAAACCAATAAAATGTCTGTACTTCACATGTATACGAGTGGGAATCAGTTATCGGAGATTTGGTTTGTGAGGAGGGAACATGTTAAGAAGAAACAGAGGTTTTCTCTAAAACTAGTTTCAGACTTAGTTCCAACCACTGTTCAGGCCTCAGGATCTTGTCATCTTGACCCCTAAATTGGACCAAACTGCGACCCAGCTGGCTAACCATTCACAAATTTCACTTGGAGAATCAATGTCCATACATTAGAAAAAAAAAAAAAAACACAGGTGCCGAGTGTGAAATTCCGTTGTTGGTCTAGCTGGGTATTATAAACAAATTAGCAAAGATTAATTAATCTAATTAATTTATTTTAAACACATTCAGATTCAGGGAACAGAGGAATGAAAAGTCAGTCCGAGACTGAAGACTCCAAGGTCGGTCGGTCGGTCGGTTAGGTAAAACTTAAAAAGTGGTAATGGCCTGTTCTCTCAAGTCCAATTTCCACCACATTCTATATATTCCTCCTTGTCGTTGAAGGCGCACTCAACGTGGACCGCTTCCACTTTCAGAAAACGACCATAGCTTAACACTAATACCCCGTTTGAGACTTGAGAGCGTTTATTTTTAAGCATTTATCAGAAAAAAAAAACACTTATTTTAGGCGAGGACCACACCTAGTGGTGTTAATTAGACTGGATTTGGTTTAATCCGATTCAGTCCAATTTGAATCCATTATAAATGGGTTAGGTCCAATCCAATCCAATAAATGTTTTGGATTAATTTGGACCAGTCCAATTCAATGTCTGGATCGTACAATCTATTCATATTCATTTTGATTTGGATTAGTTTCAACCCAAATTCAGTCCATTGACATATATATTCTTATTTTATATCAATGGATCAGATATTAGTTAAATCCAACTAAATTCAATATAAATTTATTACGAGACGGGTCAGGTCCAATCCAATCTAATAAATATTTTGGACCGGATTAGTCCAATCCAATATGTCTTGTTGGTCGGTCCAATCTATCCAAATTGATTTTGGACTGAATGGGGTCCAATCCAAAACCGGTCCATTGACACCCATAACCACACCAATAAGAATTTATATGTATTCAGGAAATAAGTTCAAATAAGTCCTTTTTACAGGAAATAAACCCGTTTTGAATAAACTCTTTTTTTTTCACGTTTTAAAAAAAAAATGCTTATTGCGTTTCCGACAAGTCTTACCCCACTACCTAATTTTCAAAATACCTATATTATCCCATTTGAAATAAGTGCTTTTTCATGAAACGCTTATTTAACCAATAAGCACTTCCAAACGACCACTATGTCAAATAATCAAGATTAATGTTAATTACTATTTTTCATCAAGACCTGTAGCCCGTCACCTGCACGGCTGCGGCATCATTTCTTTGAATGTTTCACTTTGAAAAACGAATAATCTGAGTGAAAACACAGCAATACAGCGACGGCCCACCAGAAACTTCTGACTCCTCCTTTGACTGATTGTAATTAATTAATTAATCAATTAACTCTTGCCAATTTCTTTCCTGTAGTGTAATCAATCCTGTTCCTGTTCCAGGTGAGCGGCAGCCAAAATTAAATGGGAGGTGATTTTCATTTATTATTGTGATTTGTGATGATTGATGAAGAAGAAACGTGAAAGATCTGATATGGGGACCACGTGTCGCTGCATCGTGGTAGTGGGCTCCACATCGGTCCACTACTGATTCTGATTGACAACGATTCTTCGAGGCTAGCCGTGGGCCGTGGCCCCCACCTCTCCCCCAGACCCCAGTCACCCGGTCTTCTGCTTCAAATTTTAAAATTGGAGGATTTTGATGCTTCCCCCTGTTTTTCACTATTACTATGAATTAAAATCATGAATGAATAATAATATGGAACAAATGACATAGGGTGTTATGGGCCCCGCCATCGCTGTCCACCCGGAATTACCACACTTTGTTCCTCGTGGACGGTGATGGTGGGCCCCGGCCCGGACCGTGAATCGTTGGGCTTCAGGCCTAAAATCAAGGCTTTAAAGTTTAAATCCAAATTTCGGTTATTTCCACGTACATACAAAATTTCGTTGCTTCGGCCGTAAAAGAAAAGTAACAAATCAATGACAATGAGACTGACTGAGGCTTACCATATGAAAACAAAGCAAAGAAAGAAATTAGGAATTTTGGGGCTACAAATGAATAGGATGTGATTCGATTTGAATCCAATATGATTAAAGCCGGATTTGGATATATGTGA